GATGTGTCAGAAGCTGTAGTGTTCTCTAAGGATGTTGACATATCTATGGAATTCTGATGCGTCAATAGGATTACAGGAAAATAGGTGGCGAATTGCTGAAATAAGGTTTTGGGGTGTTGATGGGAGCTGTGGTTTTGCTTCAGGTAGGTTGAAGTAGTTTGGAGGTATTCTTTCTACAGTATAGTATTTCATTAGTTTTGAACGGTATTCGGAAAGAAATGGTAATCTGGCCCGCTCTGTAATTGGAAAGAGGTCTCTTATTTCAGTATAAAGGTCAGCCGGATCATCTGTAAGTGGTTCAAGAACCGTGAGGAAATAGCTGTCAGTGAGTTTTTTGAAGGAAAAAATTTTTCGTAAAGCCAACACTGTAGCTCGGGTGAGTTTACGGTCTTTGATTAGTAGTGGAAAGGGGAAAATTTGTTGGATTAGCAGTTCTATTTCGAGTGGGTCTGGTGGTAGAGGAATGAGTAAGGTTGAGTGTGCTTCGTTGATTAATCTACGAAGTTCTTCAAAGCTGGGTTGGCAGTTTATCTGTGCAAAGTTGAGACAGTACGTAATGATTCGAGTATAGTTGTGTGGACTGTTGGTGAGGAAGTCTGTGTTGTATATAAAGTCGATAGCTAGTTTGGCTTTGAGTTTGACAAAGATTTGGTCCCTGTTGAATTTGTTTATAAAGTGGACATTATGCAGTCTTTTATATTTCTCTATTGCTATTTGTAGGAGTGAGTTAAATTCTTTCTGGTGTAGTGGATGTGTTTCTTTATTTTTTGTGAAGGAACAGAAAAAGGCTGAGTCAAGGTACTCAAATTTTGTTTTGATTGCATTTGGTAGGTTGTGTTGGGTTGGATTGGTTTGAATTTTGTGTTGAAGAAATTTTAGCAGAAGCTCTGGTAATAAGAGAGTATTGATGATGTTGTCGTAATTTCAGGTTGCCATGTCAAATTCCTGTGTATGGGCTTTTGCTAGTACAATAGTAACTGAATTACACCAGGTAAGTGAACAGTCATCTTGGGTATGTTTCTTTTTAGATAGATTGAAAGTGAGTACACTACTATATAATTTCTTTGGGGGTGAGAGTGATTCAATAGTTGCATTGAATTGGACGTCCATCTGGTCATCTGACTCTTTGTTCGATTGGGTTTGTCACAGAGGCTTGATGTGGATCGATTGTTGTGTATCAAGATTGCAGAGGTTATCTTGGTTGAGGTCCAGAAATAGATCGGGTGTGTTGTGATGATCAATTACCATGGCTATGATCTGGGATCTTAGGTTGTATATATTATTTCCCACGCTTGTTTGTTTGTTTATATTAGTTCCCATGCTGTTTTGTTTGTTTGTATTATTTCTCACACTTATTTGTTTGTTTTGTTTTGATAATATCATAGTTGTTTTTGACAAGAATTTACTAGATTTTCCACTTTGAGCAAAATTTTTTGATTCAGAGAGTGAGGGTTGAATGGTAGCAGTGGTGGAAGTGGTGTTTGCAATGTTTTCAGGTTGTGAAGTTATCTTCTTCTTTTTAAGTGGTGGTGGGTTGTCTGGTAAGGTGGGGTTTTGTTTTGTTGTTAAGTTGTTTGAGGTCCCGGTGGGATCCATCAGAGTGGCACTAGGTCAAGTTAGAGGGATAAAGAAGGGTTCAAAGGCTTTGGGAATAGAGAGTAATATGTTTCTGTCTCTTTTCAGCTTTGTGTATATGGCTTGGGGTCTAATCGGCAATACTTAGTGTGCCCAAAGAGCTGAAAATATATATAAAAACAGTTTGTTTTGTATTTTTGCAAGTGTTTTCCTCTTAATTTTTGTTGTTTTGATGATCTATAGAACAGATTGTTGGTTTTTTTTTATATAATGACTCATCATTTCTATAACTTGTTCATTTACTTTATTTACAATTATCAGGGGAAATCATTTCTGTGTCTTCTAGTTCCTGATTAGAAGGAGACAATGATGATTCTTCATCATTATCATTACAGGTTGATTTCACTTCCATCTCATTGGTGATACTAATTGTACTGATCTGTTAAAGGTGAGAAGACATTTTTGTTGTGTTAAACACAGGTGAAAAATACAACTATCTTATTTTCTGAAGTTTCTCGTACCGCACACAAAGAAGAGATAACATTATTTTGATCTTCCATTATTGATTTTTCATTTTCTTCACTATAGTTATCAAATAATTGAGGAACATCCTTTTCATAGTTGTCATCATTAAAAACTGAATCAGTTGCCAGTGAAGATAATTCTTCTACTTCAGATGGAGATGGCGAGTACAATGATTCATAAGTGATCTAGACTGAATTAAAAATTGATATATCAGTTATTTTTAAATCTGTTTGCTGAGTGTGATACTCCGCACGTAAACTAGTGTGACTAAAGTTGTGTCGTTACCCTTTTTGTGGGTGGCATCGATGTCATGGCTGTCACGTTATCCTCGTCTTTTCGCTTTTTCTCTTTAGAAGCTTCTATTAATTCTTCGTCTACCTTATCATTGTGCTATAAAGACACATAAGAGTTATTTCAATATTGATCTCAAAAACAGAGCAATAGTAACATGCAATGTCAATACGAATCATTGAATTCACGAAGGAAATCAATTAACCCTTTCTTGAACATCTGCCCCGCTTGACTTTGTTGGCACAGCCGGTGCAGTGATATATGCGCGGTATGCCTCCGCTTGCGCAGTAACATTCACCGTATCCTATAAAAAATTACAACATAAGCATTGTTATGTATTATGTAACGTATTGTACCCATCAACATACTTTGAATACGTCTTTTAGTTCGGTTTTTTCTTGCAACGTCACTTTAGCGAAAAAATATTTTCTGCATTCGTTTACCATTGCCTTGCCCGTGCATGTCAGCATAGCGGGCTTTCATTGTAATTGGCTGATTTTTGTAGATCATCCCGTGATATTGCAAAAATACCATTGGTTA